ACTCTTGGGAGTCTCAGTCCTCCATTGTAGTGGAGAAGCAGATGGACTCAGGACCCTGCAGGGTAATTAATCAAAGGCATGTTAGTCAAGGGTGTGTTAAAGATGAAGTCTGGAAGCAGGTCACAGCATGTAACAGGAGGAAGGTTCCTCTTCCTGCTCAGAATTTGACAGGTAGGATTGGCATCTTCTACAGCAGGCTCTAGAACTAGAAGGCCAGACAACTGATGAGGTGAGCAAAGGTCCTTCTGGGATAGTGGGGCCTCCTAAAACTGTCTCCCAAGAGCTTGGGTAAGGAACATTACTGGAAAACTCTCCAGTCTGGTCAGGCACTCTGGTTACTATCTGCTATTGGTCGTTCAAACTGGCAGCAATGAAATAACAAAGAGAAGTCTGAGGACAACGAAAAGAGACTTCAGGGCCCTGGGATAATTGGTAGAGGGATCGGGAACACAAATAGAGATTTCTTCGATTCTTCCAGTAACAAAGATTGATAGAAATAGGCAGGTCTGTCAGGTCAATGAGTGGTTCTGAGGTTGGCATAATGGGAAACATTTTGGGTTTTTTGACTATGGGATGATCTACTTAACACCTGGTCTACTGACACCTAAGGGGATGCACCAGTCTCACAGGGGAAAAAGTATTCTAGCACAGGAGCTAGCAGGGCTTGTTGACAGAGCTTTAAATTTGGCTTAGAAAGATGAAAGGGACAATAACTTGCCAATTATGAACACTGGGATGGTGTGCCAGAGCTTGAGGAAGCGAGCACTAACGCAATCCCTCAATCTGCTTCACAAGGTGTTGGCTACAGTCTACCACTCCTGAAATGTTTCTACACCAATGCGCACACCATGAGGAACAAACAAGGGGAGCTTGAAGCTTTGGCCCAGTCCCAGAGATTTGATATCATTGGCATAAGTGAAACCTGGTGGGATGAGACCTGTGACTGGAGTGCCTGATTGGACAGTTACAGGCTCTTCAGGAGGGATAGACAGGGCAGAAGAGGTGAAGGAATGGCACTGTGTATAATAGAAATGTTAGAATGTATGGAGCTCACAGTTGGCAATGGCACAGTTGAGAGCCTCTGGATAAGAATCAAGGGACAAACAAATAATGTGGATGTCATTGTAGGGGTCTACTATAGACCTCCTAGACGGGACGATGATGACAATGAATTATTCATTGAAGAACTAAGAGACACTTCAAAATCAACTGCCCTTGTCCTTAGAGAGGACTTCAACTTGCCAGAAATTAACTGGGAGCACCACACAACTGGTACAACCCAGGCCAGAAGATTCCTAAAAAATCTGGAGGCCAGTTTTATGGAACGGGTCCTAAGGGACTAAGGGACTTGGAAAGATGCTCTCCTTGATCTCCTGCTTGTCAACAGAGTGGATCTTGTGAGCGAAGGGGAGATTTGGTGGCCGTCTTGGCAAGAGCAACCATGAAGTGATCAAATTTAAAATCTCTGTTGACAGGAGGAGAAGTGCCAGCAAAACCTCATTCTGGATGTGAGGAGAACACACTTCAGGCTGCTCAGGGAATTAGTAAGCAAGGTCCCCTGGGAAAATTTTTGCAGGTGCTGGAGTCCAGCATTGATGGTCACTTTTGCAACATCACCTCCTAAGGGCACAGGAGCAGGCAATGCCCAAGGAGCAGGCAATGCCCAAGTATCAGAAGTCAAGCAGGTGAGGCAGAAGGCCAGCTTGGCTACCAGGAATCTTCTCTTGGAAATAAGGCAGAGAAGGAAGGTGTATGCCCAGTGGAAGCAAGGTCAAGTGACGGGAAGAATTCAGAGATGTTGCTTGCCGTTGTAGGGAGAAAATTCACACAGCTAAAACTTGACTGAAGTTGAAGCTGGGCAGAAATGTGGGGGACAATAAAAAGATTTTTTTCAAATACATTAATGGCAATAGGCAGTATAGAAATATCGTCAGCCCGTTACAGGATGAGGATGGTCACCTCACAGCCAGGGGCAGAAATAAGGCAGAGATGTTTAACACTTTCTTTGCCTCTATCTTCAACACAGATTATGGACCAAGAGGGTCTCAATGCCCTGAGCTGTTGGACCATGACTGCGAAAGTTACCAACACCCAGTCAACCCTGAAATTGTGCAGGATCTGCTGCTCCAGCTGGATCCCTACAAAACTGTGGGCCATAATGGGATTCATCCAAGAATCCTCAAAGAGCTAGCTGATGTCCTTGCACAGCCTCTTGATAATTTTTGAGCGGTCTTGGGATTCTGGAGAGATCCCAGCTAACTGGAAGCTGGCAAACATTGTCTTGATTTTCGAGAAGGGCAAAAAGGAGGACCCTGGAAACTACAGACCTGTCAGTCTCACTTCAGTGCCTCGTAAAATTATGGAGAAGGTTATTCTGAGAAGTATTGAAAAACATCTGAAAGACAATGCAGTCATTGGTCACAGCCAGCACGGCTTCCTGAGAGGAAAGTCCTGCTTATCAAACCTGATTTCCTTTCATGACAAGGTAACCCACCTAGCTGATCAAGGGAAGCCAGGAGGTGTAATCTTTTTGGATTTCAGTAAAGCTTTTGATACTGTCTCTCACAGGATCCTTCTGGATTAAATGACCAGCACAGAGCTGGATAAACACACTATGTGGTCGGTGAGCAATTGGCTTATGGGTCAAGCACAGAGGATGATAATGACATCAAACTGGTGACCTGTCACTAGTGGGTTCTGCAGGGCTCCATCTTAGGCCCTGTGCTCTTCAATATCCTCATAAATGACTTGGACACAGGATTGGAAGGGACACTAAACAAGTCTGCAGACGATACAAAACTGGAGGAGCTGTTGACTCCCCTGCAGGGAGGCCCTGCAGAGTGACCTCAACAAATCAGAGGACTGGGCAATTACCAACCATATGAAGTTCAACAAGGGGAAGTGCCCTTGGGATGGGGCAACCCTGGATATACGGACAGCCTGAGGAATGAGATGCTGGAAAGCAGTGCCACGGAAAGGAACCTGGGGGTCCTCGTCGGTGGCGAGTTGAATATGAGTCAACAGTGCCCTGGCAGCCAGGAGGGCCAACCATGTCCTGGGGGACATCAGGCAAAGCATCGCCAGCCGGTCAAGAGAGGGGATTGTCCTGCTCTACTCTGCACTGGGGCAGCCTCACCTTGAATATTGTGTGCAGTTTTGGGCACCACAATGTAAGGAAGACATTAAGCAGTTAGAGAGCATCCAAAGGAGGGCAATGAAGATGGTGAAGGCCCTTGAGGGGAAGCTGTATAAGTGGCTGAGGTCACTTGGTCTGTTAAGCCTGGAGAAGAGGAGACTGAGGGGAAGGTGTGGCTGGAACACTTGCTGGGGAAGACTCTGGCAAAAAATTTGTTAAATACCTCACAGCCTTCTCCATGTCCTGGGTTGCCAGGTCTCCCATATCCTTCCTGAGAGGACCTACATTTTCCTAGTCTTTCTTTTATTGTTGGTGTACCTGAAGAGGCTGTTTTCATTACCCATGAGCAACATTGTAGCAATATCCTAGCCTAAGGAAGTGGTTGTCACTGGCAGTTGATAATGAGAGCAGATGAAAAATGTTCATAGCAGTTAGTTTCTGTGAAGGTATGTGTTGCAGGTGGTTACTGAATATCTCTTTCTGGTTTTGTGTAAACATACACAAATAGATATGTCTATATTGTTTTTTCAAGCATCACTGTTAACTTAGAGTACCTAATACAAGTCTGCTGCTGACAATTATCAAACAGATTACCAGTTGCCAACTAATATGCAAAGAGCCTACTGGATTGTTATAATTTCAAATAAGTTTTAAAATTTTCCTATTGAACAGAAATGCCAAATTCTAACAAGTTCTATTTTGCAGTAATGAGGGAGCTGACAACAGGATGAGGTTGCAGCAGGCAAGGATGGGTTTGAGAAAAAGCTGTAATTGAGAAGCACTTTGGATGCCCTTGTAGGACTGAATCCTCCTAACTGAGCTTCTACCTCAAAACATTGTATATTTCCAAACATTAGGTATATGCTAATCCTGGTTGAAGGATTGACCCAGCTTTTGAGGGGTAGCTTTGTAATATCACATTTCTGACCCTGTTTACTGGGTCAGAAATGTGATTAGTAAGAAACTTTCTTTGCAAAGCATCTGACACTATTACTGTACTGTAAGGACAACTCTACGTTGCTTATGTATACAGCTGTAAAAGTTGTTAGACTTCCCCAATTCTCTATACACTAGAGAGGGTGGTTGTTTTCATACACTATGGCTGAGTGCTCCTTTTCCTTTGCACTTTTATTTTGGTGCTTCAATCTGATGTAATTGTATTATGAGCCATTTCAACATACCTGCTTTTACAAGATCGAGCAACTAACTGCTTCAGAAAGGTGTTTAATTTATTGTTGATTTCGTTATTCAAACACATAGACAGAAGGAATAAAAAGAGCACATGGGTAGTTTAGGCAAAGATTTATTGCTTCATTTTGTAGCACAGATGTCTGTATAAGCATTTACGTGTTGGAAAGCCTGTGTTAGCATATCTCTTCTGGGGTTTCTCTGAGTCTGTATTCTCTCGGAAAAGAAAAAGCACATTTAGTCTTTGTGCACCTTCTTTTCCATGTGGATTTTGTAGCTGAGGCTTAACTTTCCCAGAATTTGTGTGTCTCAAAATCTAACATTTCAGCGAGCTGGAAATTATGGATGTTGTGAAATTCACACAAAGATAGCAGCAACTATTTCAGGCTATTGTTGCTGCTGAATGGTCAGCAGTTGTCCTGGAGCATGTGCCATCTGATCCCTTGGCGGCTGCATATCGTTCAAAGCCTCTCCAAGGATGAGTAGCAGAGTGTCAGCCGCAGGCAGGGAGTGGGTGAAACTCTACCTCTGCCATGATGCAGCTTCCCCCTCCATCCAGAAGGGTGATAGGTGAGGAAGGAGGGTTTTATAGAGGCTCAGAGTGCTCTGTGTGCCTTACCCCTCAATGAAGCAGGCTCTCCTCCTGTTAACCCTGTGGCTCGTTTTCTCCTGGCAGTGCTGCATGGGCAGGTGTACCGGTTCTGCACCTTGGAGGGGACATGGCTGCTGAAGGAGAATTCAACTCTGCCCTGGAGGAACCTGTCTGAATGTGAGTCCTCTGACCAGGTAAGAGTTTTTCACCCCTCTTGATGCTGTTGTTTAGGACAAAGCAGAAGAGAGGAGGATAATAGTCTTTGGTGCCCATGTGGTTTTGTCCAGTCAAAGTAATCTTTTCTGTCTCGCTTCAGTGAGCCTGATGGTAAGAGATGTCAGGTCTCTCCCCTTCAACAAAGGGAACATGGAGTGTAGACTAGAGTAGGTTTAAGTGTACATGAGAGAGCCAAGAGAAGTGAATCAGATCATCCCAGCTGTGGTGCAGTGCAAGAGCTCAACTGCAGCTCACCCCACTCGCAGGAGTGACCTAATGTTATTCCTTTCTTTTTTTTTCCATTGTCACGTCATTGTAATAGTGACCACTTGCTCTCTCTGTCTTGTTAGCAGCTATTAAAGTGATTAAGATGAACTGAACTGAAGAATATTTGCTTTTCACCTTTGGGCATGGGGCAGTCCCTGCCTTTTTTCTTTTTTTTTTTTTGCTTTTTTTTTTTTTGTCTTTTTACCTTAATTTTCTGTGGGTGATGGAATTAGGCTTGTCAGTGTTATTTTCTTGCCCTAGTGCTTTATACTCTGCAGGGAGCTGAGACACCTGGCACCAAATGAAGGAGAGCATAGGGATTTCCAGAGGATTTTTGACAGCCACTGGCGTCAGCTAGCACACTGTGTGCATTCCCATGACACGTGATACCACTACTACTGTGAACCTCCAAGGGCGATGCTTTTCCTCACAGAAACTGAGTGCACTCTCTCTATTCCAGAGTACTAGGCACTAGTACATTATCTAGTCTAAACAGTTCAAGTTCATGAAAGTCCCAAGTGCTGTGGGATCTCTGCCCTCTGTAGTTCCCATTGCTCAGTGCCTCATTCTTCAGAGGGAGTAATGGCTGCAGAGTAGGAGGAGATGGAAGTAGAGATAGTTTCTCTTCTCCAATTTTGTAAAATTTAACCTTTTCCTCTAATTTGCAGCCTTATTCCTTGTCCCTTTCATTTTCTGGGGAATCCCAGCAGGGCGCATTTTCATAAAGCAACCTGTAAGCTTAGTCATTTGACTTTTCCTTCTTTGCCATTATGGTTTCTTCTAGAGCTGTGTTGGGACATGCCAAGGAGCAAGATACTTTAGTGGTAACACTTAGTCATTTGGCACCTGCCCCCAGATTTCCATGAACTGGTCTTCATTCTGAAACCCTGTGTACACAGTGTCACTCCCTGAAATGTGAACAGCCATGTTTGGTTTCCCAGCTAATGTATATAGAGCCCCCTAATAACTTACTTTGTTTTATGCATCTGGCACATGAGAACAAGAGCTTGTTTTTTATAAGTTTGCTATGTGTTATGTTACGGTTGTTACTAAAACAAATTCTAAAGGGGATGTTAGTGAATCTTTATAAAATAACATTGTTTACTCTATATGTGCAATGTAATTTTGATATGTGTAGATGTTTTAAACTGTTGGGTTTCAGTAGTTTGCCTAAGCTTGATGCTGAAGAGATTTTTCTTTTCATAAGCTAGCTCTCACATCATTCCCTTTAAAGCATTAACCTAGCAAATCTCTGAGGAACAGCCTGTTCACCTTGAATCCTCCTGGCTGTGCAAAGTACATCTGAATAACTATACTTAATTTTTGAAGTGCAAGGAATGTATTCCTTTGTACAGCACAAGTCTCATGACTCAGTTGCACAATTAGCAGCTTGAAGAAGGGAAGTAAAATGCCTGAGTCTATTTCGACAAAGATACAAACGTAGAAATGAACCAGAGTAGTGAATATGAATGTGCCTCAGAGGCTGAGCAATAAACCTCTGTTATAATTCAGACCTGCCTGTACCTTTTCAAGAACTTCTCTTCTCTGTAAGGATTTTGGCCAGAATTTTCAAACAAGGGTCTCAGTTATCATGTCTTCAGCAGTGAATCTGAAGAGAGCCCCTGCTCAGGACTGCAGGTGGTACAAGAATCCCCACTGCTCTGGTCCACACCGGGTCGCTCCGTCCCAAGCAGGATGTGACACCGAGGTCATGAGATGCTGTTGGGCTGTGGTTTGTTACCAGGAGGTTGCATAGTTGAGGCAGAAGAGAGACTATTTGGGGGCAGAAAAAAAGTTTGGTTGCATGAATGCAAGTCATGCTTTGCCTCAACATCAACAAATGGGATCTGGCTTGTTTTATTTCTGAATATTGATGTAACCAAAGGACCCTGCTCATTACTGCAGTAAGGAGACTTGCTTGAAGTGTTCAAGTCTGAAAAAATCAGCTTTGCCATTTTTACTGCAGGACTGAGTTGTGTCTGTGCTTCTTGCCACTTATTTTAAGACTTGCTTGTGTGGTAATTCATGCCTCTCCAACTTTATTATGAAATAATGTCACATTATCTATTTTTCTAACCTAGCTGCAAAACTTAACTGTTAGAGTGAACACCTGGGAGCAGCTGAGGAATTAAGATTAAATTTTTATTTCTTTAGAGCATATGGAAAGTGGAAGACTGATTTGATATGTGCATTTAAACTTAAAAGTAGGAGAATGATTTCTGGTTATCATTAAGAAAAGTTAGAAAGCAGCTGGGAGAAAAGAACTGAAGCCCACGAGCTCTGTCTTTTCCCCCTCCCCTTTCTTGTTTTTCTTTTCTCCTTTATATGCTCTCAGGATGCACCAGAAGAACAGCTCCTGAATTTGTCCATCATATACACCATTGGATATGCTCTTTCCTTCTCTGCCCTTGTAATAGCAACTGCCATTCTTCTTGGATTCAGGTAACTGGCAAAGCTTTGAAGAGAGTGGAGTAAAGGTTTTATGTTTTTCTGTATGAACGTGTCAGACTTTGACAGAAACTTTGGATTATTTTTTCTTTCCTTCCATCACCTCATCATTTCTCTATCTTTTGTCGCTTCTGTGTTCCTTCTGAAAATAATTTCTTCTCAAAATGCAAGTAAAATTGCCAAATTTTTGCAGTTTCCTGTATGAATATGTGGAACATATACTTTTTGTCAATTGGAATATTTTATTGTGACAATTTTTATTTCAATGATTTTTCCACTGGAAGAGGTGGTAAAAGAAAGAGATGCCAGCATTCCTTTGTGGTGTCACCTTGCAGATGAGGCACAAGTCTGAGATGGGCAAAGACGTTTAGGAGAGAAATTTTCATCTTGTCTTGCTTGGAGTTACACAGACCATAAATCTCAGTCTGGCCTATTTCCCAGCCCTCACATGCAAGGTGTGCAGACAGGGATTTTTAAACAATTTTTGTTTTTGGAGAACTTTTAGAAATTCTTACTTCTTTTGCAATATAAAAGAGAACCTAATTTTGAAACTTGAAAAGTTTATGTGAAAAAAATTGCTGTCACCTGGCCATATTGATGTATTGAGTTCATCCAGGTTTGCACCTACAAATTCCATGGAGTGCATTGAGAGACTCCTGGTTGCACATACCAAAGATACACTGTGTATGTTTGGTTAAAAAAAATAAAGAAAAAAACCCCAAACAAACCAAAACACAACTTTAGAATCCAAGAGAGATCTCCTTTTTTCCTCTGTAAATGCAAGAGACATCTTGATTCCAGCCAGACTGTCCTGTGGTTTGGGATGCTGAGCATAGGGGACTGGTATTTAGAAAACACAAAGATGCTCTGTTGTGGGAATGAAGTCCCTCTACCACAAAACCCTGCTCCTTGCTCCTGTATATAGCCAGGTCCCATCATCCATCTTATGTGCTGATGAGGCTGCCTCTCCTAAAAAGTAGAGTTTTCCATCTCCTACTACTCTTATCTGAAATCAGGTCAGGAACTTTCAGTGCTCTGATCCTTAAGAAACATTTTTTGCTAACTAAAGAATTACCATTTCCAGTTATTGATCATTTGCTCGGGAGCCTGCACTCCACTTTTACGAAGGCACTCCCTTTCCTTTCCTCCCTCCTATATGTTTATACCCCCTATTGTATTTAAAAAGGTCAGTCACACCTTTTAACTTCTAATTTCCAAAACTAAAATGATGCAGACCTTCTAATATTGTATCACACCTTTTAGCAATGTATTATCCATCCTCCTTACAGTGGAGAAGCATAGGCAAGCAATCTCAAAGAAGTTTTAAAATGACTGCAGAAGTGCAGAGACGTGCTCACCCTCTGTGAATGCCATGTGATAATTATGAATTGTACGTGTTCTACCTGTGCAACTTTGGGACCCATCTGACAAAACACCAGATGGTCTTCAAGTCTCCAAATGTCTCCCAGGATAAGTGTTTTCTCCTCATTTCACCTATCGATGACACTTTTTGAGTAATCTTAGCAGCCCAAATGTAAAGGTCACAGAGCACAACCATATACTTTTTGAAGAAAGGAAGAAAGGATGTGCATATTTTCTGGCAGGGAGCAAAGAGCAAGTTTGTCACCAAGGACTGGTAGAAGAGAGGGAATTTTGATGCCCTCACTTTTGTGGGATGATGCTTTAGCAATTTTTCCTTCAGCTGTGAAGCAGGGACTGGAGAAGTGTACAGGAGTGTGTGATTCTTATTCTGGAAATGAGGTTCCAGAGATGTTAAAGGGGCCAAGAGTCTTGTTAATATTATGCCATCAATCCATTTCATGCTTTCCTTTCTAAATTGTCTATCAGGAGACAACTTGGTCCTGGATCTCATGAAATACATGAGACCTGCTCCTATGTGAATTATTCTGACTGGAATCTCCTCCTGTGGCCTCTCCCTGGAGCTGTGCAGCCTCAACAAATGCGGATTGAAATCTAAATCAATGACACCTGAATGTTGATGGGGCTTTTTAAATTCTTAGACTACAAAATAACCTTCATAATTGTCTTTAATGATGATACAGCAGAGGAAACTATCTCTCTAGAGTCCTATTTTGCATCTTTCGAAAGAAATGGAAGAAAAATCTGTATTTTCAGTGGTGTAAGCTGAATTAGGCCCATAACTTTATGACTGAAACAATTTGAATAATTTGCTTTGCCTGTAGCAGAAATACTCAGTAACTATTTGCAACCTATTTTCTTCAATTGCCTATTTTACATAATTTTTTCAATCAAATTGAAATGTGTAGCAGTTCTGAAGGGTAGAAACAAATGAATTTTGAGTTAAAGGAAAATAAATATTAATAATAGGTAAGTTTTGAAATAAGATGTGATTTAAAAGTGATTAAAAGATTTCATTAGAACTATGAAAAAAATAACTCTTCTTCTTCAGTGCAAAATCTCTTACTTTTAGACCAAGTCAATTTTTCTACCAAAATTTATAGAGCAGTGAAAACCAGACATTTAAAGTGTAAGTTCGCTGAAACTCTTGCTGGAATAATTGCTGATTACCATATGTTACCTCTATCTTTTAGCGTTTAAAAAGAGTCTTACCCAGTATAACTTCGGGGCAAAGTGTGTACCCTTGCAGAGCTGGAAGAAAAGTGTTTGTGGATAAGGCTGGTAAAACATTGGCAGCATTCTGCAGTTGGATGCCATTTACATGACTGCAGTTTCTTTTGCTATCCCTTAACATGCTCTTTTTTGACAAGTAGCAGTTTTATTGTCTTTGCAGCTGGCTGCTGAAATTCAAGAGGATTTTTTTCTTTGGGTTTTTTTTTGTTTGTTTGTTTTCCATTCTGAATGGAGAGGTGAAAAGTCTGTTCCTTTTACTTCTACCGAGAATATTTACAATTCCCCCAGGAGGTAATTTGAATGCAGATTTTTCTTTTGTTGTCAAAGTGGTAATTTACAGGTGGATGTTTTTTCATTGTGGGTTTGAGCACAGCCAGAAGCTGCACCGCACCAGTTCCTGAGCTTTGCCAAAGTAAACCTGTGCAGTGACATTGGGGTCAATTCAAAGCAATTAGCTTCAGCATTATGTGCAACTTGACTTTTTCAGTCCTTTCAGATATGTCTTCTGAAAACGACTTAATTTTTACACTATTTAATCTTTTAAATTTTTTTTCCTTAACACACTGGTCTCCTTTCTTTTCCCAAATATTCAGTCTTAGGCTTGAAGTTTTGAATGTCTTTTCCTTGGTAGTGATTTCTTTTCAAAGACAGTTTGAAATCCCTACAGCGATTCTCAAGTTATGGGGTTTCCTCTGGTACCTTCTGATTCCCTACAGGGCTTATTATTCCCTCTCTCAGTCCTATGTGTGATGTTGCAGCTTTTACATAGGTAGCGGATCATGACTAGTTTGGTTTTTTTACAGACATCTGCATTGCACAAGGAATTACATTCACCTGAATCTCTTCACCTCTTTCATCCTCCGAGCTATATCTGTTTTCATTAAAGATTCAGTGGTGAAGTGGATGTACAGCACAGCCACACAAGAGCACCAGTGGGAAGGACTTATTGCCTTCCAGGTAAGGTCAGACACTGCAGTGGTTCTTAGGATATCGAAGTCATCGCTGTGTGTGTCTGCATGAGATCAAGTAATTTAATTCTTTAGTTGATGGCGTGGCGTGTTTCTCTACCTATGAGAAGTTTGCCCCCAATGGACAGAGGAAACATAAAGAAATTGCTTTATGTATATATATATATGTATGTGTACAAATGCCCATATCTTCTTCCCATGCTGCAGGTTCATTTCTTTCTAGCAGTGACAAGAGGGTTTTCATTTCCCTAAGCCAGCACCTTTTGTGATAGGACTGTCCGCCTTGTGTAATGACCAAATTAGTTGGTTGTTCTTAGAGATCTTTAATCTCTTGATGACAGGAAAAAAAGGAAGCATCTGATTAAAATGCAAATTTGAAAGTATTTAGAAAAGCTTCGGAGGAACAGGATAATTAAGTACTTCTAACTCTTGGGAGAGGATATACAGCTCTTTTGTAAATACGATGAAAGTGTCCCTTTCCCCATTTGGATTTGGAATACAAAATGTACTTGAATCCTCAAAGAAAGGTATTTTTATTATCTGTATAGCTCTTGTGGTTCTAAAACATGGATACAGCATTTACTGCTGCTATACAGGGTTGGGGTTGTAAAGGGTAAGTTTTCTGATGCATCCTTAGTACTCATTCTTTTCTGACACTGCCTAAGGCTTAAGCACTAATACCACATAGTGAATCTCATATGATAGTTGATTTTTTTTCTCATCTGCAGTGTATCAGTTGCCAGAAAATAACATTGTAATACACATCTTAAATGGTTTGGAAATGTTCATATAGGATTGTCAGTCATTTCCTCTTCCAAAAAGCCTAGGCTTTATTCTTTTACAGACGGCTTATTCAAATAGTGGTTTCATCAGCTCTGATGGATATATTAATTAAGTAATAAGATTTCATATTTATCTAAAGCCCTGCTGACCACCTCTGTAATTTGCCAACTATGAGAGATTTTGCTCTTAAATGTGGTGCACTGGGCAATATTGCTATTCTGTTAAAAAATCTTTGCTTTGGAAAATAGCCAACATTATGGCATCCACTGTTTGCTCTTTAATAGAGAAATTGTCAACTGCAGATTAGAGTATCTGGGGAAATGTAAAGATTCACTGACAGCATTTGATATAGTACCTTCTACTTGTTCTTTTCATCTTTGTGTCATGCTTTTCAAACTGTAATCTATTGCTTATTGAGATACAGTCTATTGCTTATTATTCCAAATGCAGAATGTGTACTTTTTATTTTTTAAAGGAGGAATGTTGTTAAAAGCGTCTGTCTGCTGCATATAGCACCGGCTTCTGCCCCTTCAGTACTTAAATGTGATTAGTTTAGCAGTCATTTTTTAGAGGAACAAAAGTAGGAGAGAGAACCAGTCTTTCGTGTTAGTATCCTTTTATTTTTGGCCCCTTGGGCTGTGCTTTCTTCCCTCACAGGAATCACTCAGCTGCCGGTTGGTCTTTGTGATGATGCAGTATTGTGTGGCTGCAAACTACTACTGGTTGCTGGTGGAAGGCATGTACCTTTACACACTGCTGGTACTTTCGGTCTTCTCTGAGCAAAGGATTTTTCGGCTTTATCTCTGCATTGGCTGGGGTAAGTTGATTTTTCTGTTTGTGGCTGCACTGGGACATGGTATAACGGGAAAAATTGTGTTCTACCCTAGTGCTGCCCAGTTCAAGTCCTGCACTCTGCATTCCTGTTTTGTTCCCAGTCCCTTACCTTATTTGAGCTGGAGAGTGCTGGGCTGTCACAGCTCCTGGATGCTAAGGGAGTAGAAGCTGTGGGTTCAGAACGCAGGGGCTGTGTGACATCACAGAAACTCCACACACCAGTGGCAGGCACATGGTCCTTTTCCTGCAAGTCATCAGTTTCCCAGTACAAATTTCGTGTCAGTGGTTCCATACAAGTGTGAACTTTTCTCGCCTGCCCTGCTTCATCTCCTGCAATGAAGTTTCCCATTGCATTTACAGATGTATTAACTACTTGTGGAGCAAAAGAGCAATGATGCCTTGCATCTGGGTGAGGATAGCAATAGAGAAATGGTGGCAGTGTGAGCAGCAGGATGCAAAGGGACCAATGAACAAGAAGCTGCTAGCTGTGAATTTTCAGGGTGATTAATTGGGCAGAGCAGGTCTAATAGGAATTGTTGGGGGAAAAAAAAGGTCAGGGCGTATGTGCCATGGGCATGTGTGTGCTTGAAATCAAGGATTGTGATGCCTTGAAATCAGTTGGTTGAGCAAGGGCCACCTTGTGTAGAAATGCTGATGCTTTGATTCTTTCACTGTCCAGTTCACCTGAAGATACATTAGAGTTCAGGATTCATCCTATTTTTGGAATGATATTTTATGTATTTTTATTGCATTTTCTACCTTCCTCTTCTCTACCCTTCCCTTTTGGTGGAATCAGGCCACTTTTGGAAAGCTGAGAGTAAATCCAAGTAAATACTGCAAGTGCTTTCACAGATGCTAGTTTGAACATTTAAATTGCTTTGACTCTTCTTTTCTCTCCATGGATTTCAACAGTGAATATTTTAACAAATTAATTCCCTGGTAAAATGCATATAAATGGCTTATTGTGAATTACCCAATTTTACTGAACAGTGATATATGAGGAGCAAAGGCTTTCTGGCATATTGATGGGAATAAATAAATGCAAATAATAGCAGTTTCCTGCTGGAGAGTTTTAGTTGAAGTTCTGTATCTTCCATATTCTTTTATATAGGGCATGCAGCAAAAGCAACACCAATTTGTATAACATTTGAACTATATATGTTTTAATCATACCCTCAATTTAATTAAAAAAAAGGTGGGGAGAGCTATCCCGAAGCACTGACTGAGGTCATGAAAGGAAATGGAAAAGAAATTAGAACAAAATTATATCTAGTCAAATCCTGAGGGGATTGTGGTGTTTTATAATAGAGGGATAGGCTGGTTTTGGTCTGAATCACTTCTATTTAGAGTTTGTCTCCTGCAAAAGCAGAAGGCAGAAACAGAAGATGTTATTTTGGTTTTGTTCTTCCTTTACAATGGCAGTTCTGCTACTGTATATTGAATTTCTGGATGAGTTTGTGGAAATGAGCGGCAATGTCAGAACTTGGCACTGGATATATGGGCTTCATCCAAGCTTCCTAGAAAGGTCTGTCCATGCCATTCAATCCTCATCTGTACAATTTCTTGCTATTCCAGATATGTCTGCATGTACAAACCTTGCCAATGATTCTCCACCTTCAAATGCAGAAGCATCTGCTGTTTCAGTGGTCCCAGATTAGTTATACTAGATAAGAGTTTCATCTCTAACCAAGGGAAAGAGATGAAGATTTTTCCCCTTCTTTCTGCTTCTTCACTGATGATTACATTTTTTGGGTGCTCAAGTCCCTCACTGGGTGACTTTCTGCTGTATGCATTGCTCAGAAGATTTTTATTTAATTTTTTTTTAGCAGCATGATAGACTCAGTATAATGCTGAGGCTTGAGAGAGACAGTAGGTTCCTGTTTGAGCTGAGTGTCCTTCTCTTTGAAGTAGTTTATCAATTATAAAAATAAACCTGGAACAAAAAAATAAATATTTGATTGTCAGAGCTGATTTGATACCCTGACCCTTCTTCGCATTAATGAATTGTCCTCTTACAGGGTAATTTTTTAACTTGTTCATTACTCATCATTTGGTGAATATTTATGTATACAAATTTCGTGTGTGTATTGTTCAAAACCACCGTGGGTGTTAGTCACTTCATGTTGTTATTTCTTCTAATTATAACTGAAGTTTGTGATCACTCTCAGACCATACCAAAATCTGTTCTCCTGAAGTACAGGGTACTGGGCTTGCTGTGCACCCTCCTCACTTCCCTAAGAATCTTGAATCCCGCATTTTATGGTCACTGCAGCCAAGGCTGCCCTTCAGCTTCACATTTCCCACTAGCTCTTCCTTGTTGGTGAGAACAATGTCCAGCATGGCACCTTTCCTCATTGGCTCCTTTGTCACTTGGAGAAGGAAATTATCATCAACACATGCCAGGAACCACCTGGATTGCTTACGCCCTAGTATGTTGTCCCTCCAACAGATATGGGGGTGGTTGAAGTCCCTCATGAGGACCAGGGCTTGAGAATGTGAGGCTGCTCCTGTCTGTCTATAGAGGGCTTCATCTGCTTGGACTTCCTGTTGGTGGCTGGCAGCAGACTCCCATTATGTCACCTGTCCGTGCCCTCCCTTTCATCCTGACCCGTAAGATCTCAGTCAGGTCCTTATCCATCCCCTGGTGGAGCTCCATACACTCCAGCTCTCACTGACATAGATGGCAACATGCCCTCCTGGTCTGCCCTGCCTGATCTGCCTTAGGAGCCTGTGATTCTGTTCCAACACTCCAGTCAGGAACCATCCCACCATGGCTCTGTGATGCCAGTAAGATCATAACCCTGCAGGTGTGCACACATCTCTAATTCCTCCTGTTTATGCCTCATGCTATGTGTGTTTGCATAGAGGCATTTTAGTTGTGTCCCTGATGACTTGGAGTTGATGTCAGGAGTGGCTGATATTCCTTCATGCTACTCTTCAGGTACTTTCCTGCTAACCTCTGATTCCTTCAGGCTCTGGGCCTGGCATCATCTATTGCTGGCACTGGCATCCAGTTGGTAGGAGTGGGATGGATTGAGGATCCCCTTCCCCAGCAACTTTAGTTTAAAGTCCTCTTCACCAGCTTGTCAAGCCTATGACTTAGATTCTCTTTCCATTCTCTATCTGATGGACACCATCAGTCCACAGTAGACCAGTTGTTCCAAGATATCCCAAATATATTTTTGCTATCTGATCATTTCAGGTAAGTTCTTAAGTCAGTTATTAGGCAGTAGTCCATTTATTATCAGTTCAAATGAGTAATTATTCTTTGCTGGGATGTGCAGAATGCTCTGAATCAGAGTGTCCAGGACACCAACATGGTGTTCATCGCATCTGAGCCCAAGTGAAGAGCTGCTGAGCCTGACATTGACTTCAAACTAACAGTAGTCTCTGGAGAAGAGCAGTTTATACTATAACGCTGCTGTATCAGAAGCTTTTAGTGGGAAAAGGACCTGTTCACATTTAGGAGTAGCAAGGAGGGAAGAATGGGGAACAACAGAAATATCACACGGTGACTCTGTGTGACATCCAGCAGGAAGAACAACAGGAGACCATTTTCAGCACTAAAGGCTAAGAAGAAAACGTTAATAAAAAGCTAAATATTCTCTGAGCTTCTATTGCAATTTTACACCCAGCTGCTCTTGCAGCAGGGAAATTGCCATAAAAAATAAATAATCCATTTCCTTTCAAGCCTTGGCAGTCCAAACTTGCTCTAAGGAAGAATACTTTAAGGGAATGAAGTTATCAAAAGCAGGAAGCCTGGCTAGGGCATCAAAATCTACATCCTGATTGCAAGGGAGATCTGACTGGAACAGAGGCAGTAAGAAACCTTCCTTCAGAAGCCCAGTATGAACTCACTGTAGCAACAGGATGCATTCATTGCACTGACCACTTCTTTTCTGTTTTCAAAAGAAAATGGTGTTTCAGATGAGGATGTGAAAGTAGGTTTGGTTTTTCCTTTCTAAGAAATAAGAAATGTTTCATCTTCTCACATCTTCAGTGCTTTTACTCTTTCTACATCTACTCATATGTATTTATCAGTTCTTTCAGTTCCTCATCGCATTGTTCATGCATTCATACATAAAGCAGCTGATCAAGTCAGAGCATCCTAGATGCTTTCTGAGAGAAAGAGGACTGAAATTGTTCTGACAGCAGGACTGTCCTTCTGGTTTGTGTGCCTTATTGTCTCGGAGATTGAACTTATCACACATGGCAACCAGTGACGTCAGGTTACAGCTGAAATACTGAGTACAGTCCTAAAATGCTATATTCAGAATATGTCCTCATTTAAGGGTCTCAGCAGGATAGCAGTGCTTTGGTCCTACAAATTCACTTCAGGAAGACTTTCTACTCCGCATGTGAGGATGAGGGGAGCCTCTCTTGCTCCTCATATATCTTCCCTGAAATTGTCTTTACGGAAAGTGGGTACAAGGCAAAGCCACAAATACAGTGTGTCTGTAAGAATGGAAACTTGCTTGCACGTGGAGGTAAGGGAAAGAAGATGGCATGGAATAGCACCACCTGGTGACACCTTTCATGGTAACTGGGACTTTGTGCGTTCCGGAACAAACCTGAGCTTTTCTGTTCGGTTACCAAAATATCTTAGACCTATTAAATGAAGAGACTGAATACCACATGCTGTGATCAGGACATAGCAACTTCCATTAGCAGCTCCACGAGTTTCATGCCCCTCTGCTCATTCGGGACAGTGGAGCATTCTGAAAATGTCAACCTGTGCAGATTTTCTTACAATTTTCTTTTCTTACCTACCCCATCCTTTTGTCATTGTGGAAAATGCTTGGTTTTCCAACATTTTTTTCTTACTATGCAGACACCTGACCAGGTGTAGAATATATAAGCTAGAGTGAAACTAGGAAAGTTGTGCTGCTTATTTGTGCAGTGGGGTGTTAAGTTGTTGATTTGGCAGTTCCATTACTTTCTCATCATCCATAATATATATTATTATTGCAGCCTATAATTCAGATGCCCAGTCATTTGAAGTTGAACTTTATTAGCTGAACTGTCAGCAGGCTTATTTCCTAGTACACTTGACAGATTTCATAATCACCATGTAGTGTTCAAAGATTTTGGGTCAGCTATCAGCCTGCAAGAATTAACATTGCAGAAGCTATTATGAGCAGGCTGTTGTAATTTCTGGCATCTTCAGCAGTGATGCAGTACAGAAAAAAGTAGACATTACCATTTCCAGAATTGAGAGACCTTTCTCTGGTCAGTTAATCTAGGAAAAGATCAATCTCAGAGCTTTCTGTGTGATAAAAAGCAAAACCAGAAAGAGTTCAGCCTATATCTTGAATAAGTGCATCCTATAAATGAGTGCAGTTTTTTCTCGGATATCTGATATTCTTTGAATAGCAGCAGCAAGAGAAAGAAATGTAGGACTGAAACTCAAATGCCCCAAAAGACCTGCATGTTGAGAGCCCAGTGGAATACACCACTGATTCTGTTAATGAAATATAGTCATCTGTAGTATTTATTCAAAGAGTTGTATGCAGTTTACTTCCACTCCCTGCTCAAACCAGACAGAATTCTCTTGACTGAGTGATGTAACCAGAATAATATTTGCACTTGTGACAGTTAATGCAGGGTAATTAGGTGTCAAAATTGTTAATTAATCTTTGGAGAGTCTCAGTGCTCCTTGCATACTACAACTATTGCAGAGATGCTTTAGACTTGCCCTTTTGCTGTTATGAAAGACTTCTACAGGCTTTCATAACAGTGAAATAAGGGAATGTTCTTGAGGCAGTCTCCTCTTTAGATCTTCACGAGGACTTTGGAAAACTGGATGCATTCCCATCTGCTGAGAGTGTGTCCTAGATGGTTTTCAGAGCCACCCATTTCTCAAGGAAAGGTTTTGTGAATTTGGTAGGTGTCAGGGAATATCCAGAAGATGGAGATATCCACAAATCATTATTGTTATCACTTGATATGTCAAATGATATATCCACTGACATACAGCCCTTGTGCTGTCAGTGTTTGTGTCTTATCCTGTAACTTCTATATTAAGATGACTTAATTCTCAGCAAAGTCAAGAAAGGAATAATTCAATCTATAATTTGTTTCTATGAATCACAAGCTCATTTGGTTTGGAACTGATTTGCAATGAGCCTGTTCTTAGTCTCTTTATGTCACTGTGAAAGCAGCATAGAATTCTTAGAAAGTTTGCTCCCAAAATATTGTGTATTCTCAGTATCAGGTACATTCATGGAACGTGTCAAATTATTTTTTGTGACATAGGCATTTCATAAATGAAAGAAATTAATTTGAGAGCCTTTGACACTATAAAGCAGGTAATGTCTGCAAGTTTGTTTGGCTTGTCTCTCTTCCCTTTACACCCCAGATAAATTGACCAACTGTGGCACATGTACTGTCAGAGGTAAGGGTAGGACCAAGCCTCTTCTCAAAGCAAGGTGCATCTGCTGTATTTGCTGCAGCCACTCAAGTCCATGCCAGTACTGCAACCCAAACTTGGGACTTCTCTGTGGGGGAGGCCTGAGCACACTTGCTAGGTGTGCCCACACTCCTTCTGCCATCGGGGGAATGTGGGCTGGGTGTGCTCCAGCCCTGATGCCAATGGACAGCCTGAGCTTGGTGCTGCCTGAATGAAGGGTAGGTGACCCACAGGCAGAAATTTGGAGGCAAAGGTCAGGGTCAGAGCACACTCCTCTCTCATGTGAGTACAGAGGCTAGTAGAGCTTCCAAAAATTTAATTCCCTTGGCCCCTCCGTGAAATGTTACTTGGAAGAAGTGGCATATGCCAAGTATGGGGGCAGTTCTGTTTTTCATTTTTCATGCCTGTTGGAAACTAGGTAGGAGCCCAGAAGAAAATGAGTTATATCTATTAGTTACTTGTAAGTTAAATGCCTCCTCCCACTGTTGATGGCCATCTGTGCTGGATAGGAGCTGCAACCCTGCCACCAGTTAATTATGTTGCTCATCATTATGGTGTTTGTATGGGGAGGGGTGAGTTGTCCTCCTCTCTGCTTTTCCCAGTGTCAGTGTCAACCTTGTCTCCTCTCTTCCCAGGTGTGCCAATGCTGTTTGTTATCCTCTGGGGAACTGTCAAGTACCTTTATGAAGATGAAGGGTTGGTTTGTTCTGATTTTTCTAGCTATCTCATTTGTGCTGTATGTGTGCACCAGCAGGTCATTGTTTGCTTTCTGTTCGGTGTGGTTTGCTTTGGCAATGTGCTGAAACCTCACATAATTGCTTCTGTTTTGTCTGAAGGTCTTGCATAACATTTCAGAAAGGAGCATATGTTTTTTTCTGATCAAAATTTTCTGCATGTCTGAATGAATCTATCCTTTTGCAGGTCAAGGAAAGGTATGTTTTGTTTTTCTGTAGTTACAGTATCAACAGTATCAACAGTAGAAGTCATCATACCAACCAAGACCACTCCTGATGCTGTGCCTTTGGCAGTAGCCTTTACAGTTATGCTTCAGAGGGAGGCAACAACCTCCCACAGGATTCTGCCTGCGATTTGTAGTGGTTAGCTTATGCCTAGCAGCAGAGATGTGATTGCCTGCTCTTGTTTAAGCTTCCATTACTTAGATTTTCTTAAAACAAATGCACATTCTCTGTCTGCTTACGTTAGTCTTGCTGAAGTCAACTATGTCATGCACAAGATTGCTATAAAACACAAAATACTTTTCATCTGTTTTTACCATAGTGGCTGTTCTGAAAAAATTACCTTTGTATGTGCTTTCTGTACCAAATTGCATTGTAGGCAATTTGTTAGGGTTTTTAAAAATAAAAAATTAAATAAAAGGGAGGAAAGTGGCTTCCTCTTTTTAGTGGCAGTGGCTGCCTGGAAGTATTTGGGTAGCTTTCTTTGTGATGAAATAAATAAATGTATGGTATTTCATTTCTATTATAAATTTACTATTTAATGAGTTTTATTCTTACTTAGTTTCCAAACTACCCAGCCAAACTTTTGTAGAAGGTTCTCTTTTTCCCCCCCTTTTTTTTTCTTTTTTTTTCCTCTTTTTTTGTTTTTCTTTTTACCCCCAGGCATAATCCTTGCTGGAGGGATGCTGCAGTGTGAAAATTCAATGTAGTCAGTCATTTTTGTGGTGTTCATTAGTATTAAGAACCAGCGCTTTTTTTAGTTCTGAACCAGTTCAGTCAAAGCTGCTTTTTCTGGCTTAAGCAATGCTAGGATTTTCTGACTTTCCTTTTCAAGGTTGACTTGACAATATTCTGTGGCAAGATTGTGGCTGTACTGATATATTGCAAGTTTTATTGAAATTATCAGAATAGGTATAGAGACCATGCAGTCTCTGAGCAGGCAGCATTCCATGGACATATCTTCCCATTGATGTAGAAAATGTATTCAAAGTGCCCATACTGAGCCTCCTACATTATGCGGTGCTCAGAGCTGATTTATGTTTTCTATTAGGGAAAACTGTCACTCACTGCCCTCAGCGGACCTTAAAAGGGGCAATCTTGCACCTTATTGAATTTTCTAAATCTTGTCTAAATATTTGTAAAATACAGCAGTAAATAACCATGTGCAGCAGCTGCTCTGAAAGGCAAGATTTCTGTGCCTTGGGCTGTTGGAGCAGCCAGGGATATCCTTCATGCTGTTTGCCATAGCTCTGTCACTGTGGATGTGCAGCGGGCTGTAAATTTCATTTGTGATTTAACTATTTCCCTGGCTATGGAGAATAACTGGAAGTAAATGTGGTCAGGGCTGGGAAATTGAGGCAGTCCTGTGAACGTAGCCATTTGAATGAAGGACCAGAGCCTGCAAGGCTTACTTGCACACTGGCTTCTTCTTTCCTTACATGTGCAGGTATAAACTCCTTTAGAAAGCAATTGTGTTTTAAAAGTGAGCTATTGAAAAATACTTTGTCTAGTTTAGAAGTAAATTTAAAAGCAAGCTGCTGTTCTTAGTTATTAGACCATGCCTAAAAAGTTGATACTTACACATTTTTGTTCCTGTCCGCAATAAAGTATGGGAGGAAAACAGCCAGCCTACAATCCTTTTTTAAAAATGGAGCCATTCAGCTCTAGCTCCTCAGGGTAAAAATTTAGTGTTTTCACTTTTAGAGAAAGAATACAGGATTGGTAAGCAAAGGCAGAAGCTTCCCAGTAGCATTTGTTTCACTGGACAAATTCTCCACTCATGGCTCTGAGGCTATTAGTTGCCAAGCATCTTCTGAGTGGTGCTGAGCAAACTGCAGGGATAGATCCCAAACACAATAGATGTTGGTGTATTTATCAGTGTGACAATCACAGAAAGCACAAATGGGCAAGAAATCATGTACAGATATACCAATTTTATTTTCTGGACACTTTAATAGCCATGACACTTTAATTGACCTGTAGTGGTATTTTCATTGCACACATTTATTTAAAGTAGCTAAAACTGCTATGTGCCACAGGAAGCAAATTAACACACACAGAAATGTAGCAAAGTTAATGTAAAGAATTGTTTCTCAGTGTATGTTATTATAAAGAAATTTATAAATTGCCTTTGCATCTATTGCAGCTAGTGAGAAAAGTAGAACTCCACTCCCAGCCATGCCTGTTATCCCATCAGTTTTGAGGGGTTCAAATAAAATTAATTTCAAAGGCTCCATGAAGCTGGCTCCCAGTCACACGTACCAATTAAGTTCTTCTGTTACTCAGATTCCAGCTCAGGTATGCTGACTGCACACAGTCTGTATACCTGTTTTCTCCAATATCTAAAATACGATTGAGCTGTAGGTCGTAGAGCTGCTGGTGGCAATAATATGCCTGTTATACGTGTTAAACTGAAACGGAAAAAAAAATGAAATTCTGGGACCTTCTCGGACTTGCATTACCTTCAAGGGAATGTGCAATTGCCACAGCCAAGCTGCTACGCTTTCCTCTCTAGTCTGTGGGTACATGTGGCCTTGTGGTTGTAGCATGGATCGCTCCCACATACTGCATGGTTTGCTCTTTTTTCTTTCCACTTAGACTGTCCCACTTCAAGGCTGGGAGGGTTTCATCTCCACCACCATCACCCAAGCTGAAGTTTCCGAGGTCTGTTAAGAAATCTTAAGGAAAATTGTGCATATGTATGTTTTGATGAGAGATGAAACTTGGAGAGGAAGAGAAACTTGTTTTGTGAAGGAACCTGTGTTTTCTGTAGTGCTGTTTTCTAGTTTGTGTTTCACAGCCTGTGTAGCTCAGAAACTTGCTCACTTTACTGGTGACTGTTGCTTTTGAGTAATGCTGAGCAATAGGGCAGGAGGCTAACGAAATTATTTCATAGAAATGTTAAGAATGCTGTCATTGCAGCAACAAGTGAGCGCTGCCCTAACACCTGGGCCACCATTGTGCACAGACATAGCCCATCAGACAGTTGGTGGTGGTCGCTGGCTGTGGCCAGAGCAGAACCAAAAAGGACTAGATGTGCAAACCCCTCCATGTAAGGTTCACTTCAAACCAGCAATCCCAAACTGTGGTTGTCAGGCATCACTTTTCTTGTCATTGTTCTCCAATATTGCACAAGGAGACAGGAATTTAAAAAGCTAAAATGAGACTCATGGGGGAAATTAAGGATTATATTGCCTGCAGCATGCTGCTTACTTGGCAGAGGGCTCAGGTCAACAAAAAGTTAGGAACTATTACTCCCATTTTTGATTTTACTTGTTTATAATTTTTAAAACTCCCTTTGGGCCAGAAACACTGTGCATATGCACTGAAGGAACTGGAGTTTGCTGCCTCAGTTGCCTTCTCCGGGCTGAAATTAGTAGGTCCTTTATGAAAATAAGGACAAATAAAAGTAGTGCAGAAAGAGGAGGCTAGGAACCACACAGGAAAGATCTGACTCAAACAGACTCCCCTCCTCCCGCTTCTCCTTTCAGCCATATGACAAATTTGACCTTGGTTTTAATGGAATAAATCTTCACCATTAATGGATGATAATTTATAGCAAATTGTGGAGGAGAGCTAGCCATTAGTGGGCAAGAAAGGCCAGTGAGTAGTATCCAGTTGGATTATGATAGCTGCGATAGTACAAAGCATTCAGTGTTTCTGAGAAGCGATTGCCTCTGTTTCCATGTCAGCACGATGCGCTTTCCTAGTATCTAGTCCTTAATATTGTTTTCCTTCTGCATTGCTGTGACAGAATGAAAAGCAGGAGATTTTAGTAATGTACTGAAACTTTTCCTTCTTGTCTCCTTTTTGTCATCTTCCTAGTTGCTGGACCAGAAACTATAACATGAATTACTGGCTGATCATCAGACTGCCCATTCTCATTGCCATTGGGGTGAGTATGAAGCACGTGCTGCGAGCTGGCAGATTTCCATGAGAACAGGACGTGACATAGTACAAAGATGCACACATGGCCCTTGTGCATGTCCAAAGGCTAGTAACCTTTGAGGCTATTGGCATTTTCATTCAGAAATGTGATTTTATGAAACCAAATTTGTTTCTATCACTGGAATTCCAGACTAGCCTTTTGTTTGTTTAATTTGGCCACATGCTGTCATGTTGTAGTGGCAGGAAATGATAACAAAACAGCATGCTGTAGCAATCCAGTTAATTCCCCAGTGAACAGAAAGCTATGGCAGGTAGTACAGGGAGGGTGGAGACAGTATTTTAGGTACTGGACTGCGAAAGAGCCACAGATGTGTGGTATTGTGTAGAAATGCCATGTTCTGCAGCCACAATACTGTGTTAATCTCAGATCTCCATACAAGGCAGATGGGCCAACCCACATTTTCATAGTGTCTCACTTCCCAGAGAGTAGGTAGGCTTCCCTGCTTTGTTTAATGAAGTGCCTGTGTTTTCAAAGACGACTTGTGAATTCACAATATGCATTTAGAGCACAACTCCTTAGCAAGGAGTTGAGTTATGTAGCAAATTCTGCAGCTGCAGAGTAGCTGAATGCAGAGACCTACCTGTGCATACACAAACCAGCTTTCTTGAGTACTTGCGCATATGTATTTATTTGATGATGGTGATATAAATCCTTCTTTCATTTCTCCAGGTAAATTTCCTCATCTTTATCAGAGTTATATGCATCATCATCTCCAAACTACAGGCTAATTTGATGTGCAAAACTGACATAAAATGCAGGTAAGTCTTATGGTGGTCTGGCTCTTTCCATGCCCTTCAAAATAGAAGTAGACAAGAAGGTACACGACATGACTGGATTGACAAACGTGGTTAAAAATCACAACCCTTGAGTAATGCACAGGTGTGGTGTCACACATTGGTATAGCTGCTTAGTCAGTCCCCAGAAAAGCCTCAGTGAAGCCGGGGGCAGGTATTATACCTGCGTTACAGATAAACAAAGGCTTGATGTCTGTCACTTTACAGTCTTCCATTAGACTGGATGAATATTAATTAAACAGATATTTTTAAAATACATGCAGCACATGCAAGTACTAGATGTTAAAGAGGTTGAAAGTGTCCAGAGAAGGGCAACAAAACTGGTGTAAGGGTTGGTAGGAATGTCCTGTAAGGAGTGGCTGAGAACTTTTGACTTGTCATTGCTCTCTACAGCTCCCTGAGGAGGGAAAGTGGAGAGGGTGGAGCTGAGCTCTTCTCCCTGGTATCCAGTGATAGGATGGATAGGAATGATTTGAAGCTGCACCAGGGGAGGGATAAACGGGACATTAGGAAGCATTTCTTTACAGCAAGGGTGGTCAAACACTGGAACAGGCTTCTTAGAGAGGTGGTTGATATACATGACTGTCACTGTTTAAGGGGCATTTGGACAATGCCCTTAATAACATGCTTTACATTTTGAACAGCCCTGAAGTAGTTAGGCAGTTGGACTACTTGGTCATTGTACGTTTCTCCCAAAGGAAATATCCTATCCTATTCAATTTTGAAAAAAATTAAAAAAAGAGTGATAGAAATAAAAGGTTTCACTTTGAGAAAGGTAAGATGGGTCATTTTGAGTTTTGCTCCTTGTTCTTCATGCCAGTTGTTATTGGGACAAACTTTCAATCTTGAATGCATGAGGTGTTTCAAGAGAAATGTCAGGGTTATCACAGAAATGTTTTTGTTTTTCAAGCTTCACCCTATCTGTGTCTCTATTCTTCCTGTTATTTAATCACCTTGCTAAGATTCATGGTTGCATCCTTCATTTCTGCATCTTGAAGAATACTTTTGTACTGAAGTCTGAAAAACAGTGTAGGAATAACAGGTTAGCTATTGAATTTTCCAGTGTGGAGCTACATGCTGCGGCAGCTGGACTGCTACTGGCGCTGGACTTAGCGACTTTGAAATTGGGTATTTCAGTGCTGCAGCCTTCTAAGCTAGACAAAGCATGTATTTTGGTACATTCTCATCACAGTATAGAGTTGCTTTGTATGTTACCTACCTGCTTTACCTCACTTGAAATTTTAGAAATCCTAATGCATCTTTAGAGCTCAAAGCAGAGAAAAGGACTTGTTTTAATGACCTTTGTTTTCAAGCCTCCTTTTTTTTCTTTTTTTTTTTTTTTATTTGAATATGTGTGAGTTTTATTTGCCAGGATAAAATGTGTGGTGATGTAAGGGGGGGATTTTCCAGTCCTTATGGCTTGAACCCATTTAAAAGTCTGACTGTAAATTTACCCTGTCAATGGAGAAAGCCTTTGCCCTCATGACTTGTGCAAGTGGCAGGAAGGTTTAATGCAGGTGAGGCATCATCTCAGAGGTGCATGTTCATACATTTCTTCATTTTACATGTTCAGAAATCTTCTGTGTGAACAGAAGGGTTTTATCAGGAAAGAATTTACCCAGCAACAGAGCCTTCTTCTTCACTCATGAAGACTCTAGATTTGGTGGCCTGTCTGGAGGTCGGTGGTTGTAAGTAGAAGTTTTGGAGAAGTCTTTTACTGAAAAGAGTTCAGTGTGCCTCTGATGATAACAAAACCAGTAATCAGAGATTCCTGTATCAGACTTCTCTTCCACTCAAAGTCACTGGAAGAGATGTTGGGCAGAGGAAAGACAGAACTGCTATGCTGGAATGGGTTATTTTAAATAAGGACTAGTCTAGGTGCCCTAGAAGGTCACTAGTTTAGATATGTATAGAAAGGAGAAAAGTGTTTTGCTTTCAGGCCAGTCTGTCTCTCACCTCTCTCCTGTTGCCCACTTGCCCACAGCAAGCTCACTGTTCAGTATGGCAGCAAACTTGTTTTCTCTACAGGACGAGTTGTGGAGAAACTTCTCCCCTTGCTCAGGGGGATTTTGCTTACCCAGGAATCCTTTTCATAGGACTTTTCATGGCTTCCTGTTTAAGGCAGAACTCTTCAGGTATCCCATCTTGAGCAATTAACTTTGATTAAATAAGCAAGGAGATTGCTGTACACCTACACAACTCCTTATTTTTATCCAGGGCCAATTCAGCTTCAGGCTCCCACTTCTCTATCTCAGGCAGGTGATGGTGGAGCACAGCCTCCATTGCAAGGCTAGCTGGTAAGCTGCTTGTTTAAACAGGCTGCCTATCCCCCAAAGCAGTGGTGTGCCTGTGTCTACTAAGAGCTACATTTCTGCTTATCTATATGTGTAAACCTGTTTAATTTCAACAGCTGCTTTGATTCATCCTCCTTTGGTCCTTGTGTATCAGGGACATTGGGAGGCCAGTGGGTGGGCTGGCAGGAACCTTGCACTTGCTTTGTGATAACCTCATGCAGCAGTACAGGATGCACACTTACTGGGGAGAACACTACTTTACAGAAGACCCAGGGAGGCTGGAGGAAAATAGGTTGAATGTGGTTCAGCAGTGTGCCCTTGTGGCAGTGTAGGGTGACTGCACACTGGGCTGCACAACCAAGGGCTGAGACAGAAGGTCAAGGGAAGTGACTGATCCCCTCCATTCAGCACTTATGAGACTGCTTCTGGTGTCCACCTTGAGGCTTCCCAGTATAAGAAAGGCAATGTGTCCCTTGCCTCCAGCCTCATGGGTCTTGCATCAATTTTGCACCAAACCAGTTCAGGGGCTGGACCAGGTGACACAGGAGGAGGTGCTGCAAAATGGGTTTATTCAGTCCACAGAACAGAAGAGTAACTAACGATTTAAGTGCAGTCTTCAGCTAGTGTGGGTTATACAGAAAATGGAGCTGGAGTATTTTCAGAGGGTCACAGTGAAAGGACAAGGGCAGAGGTCACAAGTTATAGCAAGAGTAATTCCAATTGCAGCTCAGGTGAAAATAAATTCAGAATCAGAGTGATCTGACACTGGAAGAGAGGCCCAAAGGGGGTGTGGAGGACCTTGGAGATATTCGAAACTTTGCTGGACACAGCCTTGAGGAACCTGCTGTGAACTGGAGTTCAACAAGAGACTTCCAGAGGTTACTTCCAACCTGAATGATTACATGATTCAGAATAGCAGCCAGTAGCCCGAAGGCACACAAGATCTGCTAAGTACTGACAGCCCTGCTATAGATGAGTGATTTCGTATCTACTGAGTTGTTGTGAGATCTTGATATGTTCTGTGGCCCAGGAAGCTCCCATGTGATGCTAAGGCATCTTTTATTATCCTGTTGGGTGTTGTCTATCAAAAGAGAGTTAAGGATCATTCTTGTGAATTTTTTCTCTTGAGCAGTGCTCTCTCACATGTGAAAAATGTTTTATTCCAGGTTGGTTTGTCTTCTTTCCTTTGCTAGCTGTGTCTTTGAACTTGCTGTTTAAATCATGGAGCCATCACTCACTTTAACACAGCTTAATTGCTTTGACAAAGTGTTCCGCAGTTACAGATAGTTACAATGAAGATTTAACACACCACAGGGTGGAATAACAAGCACGCCTCCCTTTGCCAAGATTCTTTTAAAATATTTGAATTATTGATAGATTATTTCTTTCAGGCCATCAACAAAGTAGGTTTTGGTCATCTTTCCCGAATTACAGGTGGAGAAAAAGATACGCAGGAAGACATCACAGGTACAAGAAAGCACATGGCCTCCTTCTGAGTTTGGAAGATTTTCCTGGTTAAATACAGCTGGATACAGAGAGTAGCTCTCACCAAGAAATGGTCTGCAGTGAAGGGGTAGGGGCAGTTAAATGATATGGAAACTTACTAAGGTTATTTTGAGGATTTCTTTTTTTCCTGCTGCCTCTGGAGGAGGACCTTGCATCACAAAGTGGTACAGTGGCTTACCAAAGCTGAGAGTGTGTCAGAAGCAGAATGCAGAAACAGTGACTCTCAGTGATCATTTGGATCAACAATGATCTATTCAGTGGCACTGTTTTTTTCTTTCTTTGTGGTCTTAGGCTGGCCAAGTCTACGTTGACTCTGATCCCACTGCTGGGGACCCATGAGGTCATCTTTGCCTTTATTACGGATGAGCATGCCAGAGGGATGCTGCGCTTTGTGAAGCTTTTTACTGAACTCTCCTTTGCTTCATTCCAGGTAGCACTCACAGTGTGCACATGTGCATAAGATACTTTTTAGCTGCTATTTGGGGACCTGCTTTCTCTCTAATTCATTACATGTTCCTTGTTCCTTATATTTGTTAGTTTAGCACTGGATGTTACAGGATTATGACAGTGAAAGTATAAGGACTAGGTTTTAATAGCCAGCTTACATGTTAGTGTCACATACACTTATTTTCAGTGTCTTAAATTTACAGCAGTAACCTGGTATTCCTGTCTATAGATTAATATTTACTTCCTATGGTTCACCTCAAGGCAATAACAAAAGTGTCTGTGATTTCATGTAATTTTATAATGGCATTGCTGAAAGCAAATTTTGTGCTTTCTCCGGTGTTTTTGATACTCCTTGGAAAATCTGTGTTGTGAGAAGTCTACAGCTGTAACTGCATGTGAAGAAGATGTAGGCTTATTGTGACTTTTATTTAACTGTTGCCTTAGGTAAAGGCTATTTTGAGTCTCCTTGTTTAAAGAAATCATTATTCCTTTAGTTTCCCTGCACACTCACTAATCCCCTGTTTATCAAGCACAGAGATGTATTTAAGACAACTGTGAATTGCTCACTTATGAAGTGTTTATGACTTGAAACCAGGTAAGGAAAAAGAAGGGGAAAGGAATCATTTAACAAAGATAACAGGTTGAAGAAAACAGTAACTCATTTTTCCTAAGATCATGTGCTTTGAGATATAGTTTGGTCAAACCTCTCCTCTGCCATGAGAGCTGACAGAGGCCAAAGATTGTCTCCACCTTTCAGTCTTATCATGGACATGCCAGTGTGGAGCCTCTACACCTCTGCAGTTTTGTTTGACAAAGCAAGGAAACTGCTCTGCTGACTATTCTTCTGGTTTTTGTTGGTTTCAGGGGCTGATGGTTGCAATTCTTTACTGTTTCATCAATAATGAGGTAAGAGAGACACCATTTGTTCCAATTTGCCTTATCAGCATACACTGTAGGAAAAGGAAATTGAAAATGGTCTTGAACTGCTAAATTGTCCTTTTTCAGAAATTTCACTTTTTTTTACAGATCCTTCCCTGCACAGCTGCACAGGATAACTCAAGAGACAAATGTTGTTGGAAGGAATTCAGGCAGTATAATTTAGGGTCACTATTTGTAGATGTGGAATCTCACAAATTGTCTTGCTCACAATTGTACAGTTTGTACTGCTGGAATCTTTTTTTTAAGAATTATAGCTGCTCTTCTTAATCTCATGGTGCTTCTTTTTTGCTTGTTTTGGTGAATGTGGGAGTGGAGCCCTTTTTATTCTGTGAACTCAACTCAACTGACTGTTGAAGCTGGAGAATCCTCATGGCTATTGCTGTATAGTTTGGTTTCATTTGGTTTCCCTGTGGCCCAGCTTTTGAAGACATAATCACTCTCTCATTAGGAAACTGAACTTCACAAAGTGGTGAGCTCTCCCACAGGCCCAGAAGAAATGTATCTTTGGCTTTGAGTAATTGATTGCAAATACCATCTCCTGTGGATTCTGCTGAATCCCAGCCTTGTTGGGTGAAAGGGTATAATTCTGTTTCCATATCGCAGGAATTCCTCATGTTACCTTCTAAGTGATTATTATCATTCATTCATTCATTCATTCATTCAGCAGCCAGATTTTCAAGGGAAGCAAACACTTCCTATTTGACAGTACATTATCAAATTAAATGAGCATTAATGTGTTTTACACTCGCACTAAATCTACTTTTAACCATGTCATGGTAATTCAAGATCACCTATTGAGAGACAGGCCTCATCAAGGAATTGGAATTAGTGGAAAAATGTGCTACTTGTGTCATTATGGCCAGGCTGAAGTCAATAGAAAAGCAGCAGGCATCCTGAACTTAGCCTTGCAGGAGAATGTTTACTTTTGTAGCTTGGGGGTAAGACTTTGTTTAAGTGAATCTGTTAGTTGTACTGCTTGTGAAACTCAAAGGTAGGTAGCAGCAGGCTTTACTCAAATATTAGAGAATATTTGTTTCAAATTCCTTGTACAGCTTTACAGGTGTACTTTAATTGTAAAATGCAGCATTGTCTGCTGGTGCATCCTGTATTTCTTTTGATTCACTTTGACATTTGCTCATACATCCCCTGTGCAGCTGCAGCCAGGCCTCTCCTGAGTAATGTCCAGTAATTTCCTTCATATGATATGAGGGCAAAGTTACATCATAACCCAGACTGTATTACAAACCTGAAACAGGTAGGCTTGTTTCATTTTAGGGGGCTTACTGTGTAATAGCCTATCTATGTTTCTAAGAGATCCTTCAAATCTCTTATTACTATAATTCTCTTGCCTTTGTAATATAGTTCATAAAATCTAACCACAGTGTGCTCAGCTTCACTGACAGACAATCTAGGATGAATTATTCTGCTTGTTCCAGCTCTTGTTAAAAGAAGGGAGTAGGGTTTTGTCAAGCCCAGTCATCAGCATCCATAAAATAAATCCATGTAAAGAGTTTGATTAAATAAAGTCTCTTCTATTTCTTTTCTATATGAGAAATTTTTTCCTAAACTAAATGAGAAACTGTTTGTCTTCTGACACACTATATGTGTCCAAAGAATACCATTGTTTGCAATGTGGTCTATATTTTATTTTTGTCTGTGACTCATTGACTCCTTTGTTTTTTCCTTAACCATACACAATGAAAGATCTTTGCAAGTCCTAGTGCCCAGATCAAGAGTAGAAATTTAGCTAGAAGTGCTATTGTTATCCTTTTCTAGTATCTACTTCTGAAAAAACACTAGAATATGTTCATATTTAAGTCTTATTTCACCTGAAAGATTCTGGATTTTCTCTGAACTTGTTCTGAAGCCAACAGCAGGGTCTCATGAGATTGCCTGTTACCACTGTTGTTCTTTGCAAAATGAGCTAGGGTTAATATGACCAGTTTTTCTGCAGTTAGTACTGCTTTCTCTAAGAAATATTTTAAACCATAGTGATGCTGCCTTTTTCCAACAGTTAGTTTAAGATGGTTCAGGTTTAATTCTTTGTAGTCTTGGTTCTCCTTTTTGCCTCTTTCCTGTCACTTATGGAAGTACACTTCACTCTCATCTACTTTAAAGAATCTGTCCTGATGCCAAGACTCTTGAATTCTTTAAATACTGCCCAATCCTCCCTTTTTCTTGTCATTTCTTTTCATTCTCCATATAGAAAACTCATTAAACTTCCATCAGCTCCATTCCATCCCATTTCAGACCTACTCTTCTTTCACTCTGATTTGTTGAGATTTTTTTTTTTGCCAGAATTTAACTGTTTTGTAATCGGATTCCACACTCTCAACATCCTTCCCCATTAGCTGCATTAAGCTTGATCAACTGGTCTCTATGAGAAGTCTTGTCCACTTTAACCCTCCATCACCATCTTTTTCAAATTCTCCTACCTCTTCCCTTTCAAAATACGGTACATAAACATTTTTCTTCTTCCCCTTTCTCACATGTCATGGTTTAACCCCGGCAACTAAGCCCATGCAGCCACTCGCTAACTCCCCCTTGGTGGGATGGCGAAGAGAATTGAAAGAGTAAAAGTGAGAAAACTCATGGGTTGAGATAAAGACAGTTTAACAGAAAAAGCAAAAGTTGTGCATGCAAGTAAAGCAAAACATGGAATTCATTGACTACTTCCCATTGTCAGGCAGGTGTCCTCCCAACTTCTTGTGCATGCCCAGCCTGCTCGATCTCAGGGTGGGATGAGAAGCAGAAAATGCCTTGGCACTGTGTAAGCATTTCTCAGCAATAAAACAGGATCTCTGTATTATCAACACTGTTTTCAGCACAAATCCAAAACACAGCCCCATACCAGTTGCTATGAAGAAAATTAACTCTACCCAGACAAAATCAGCATATCACGAGAGGTTTGTTCTTGGTTTCCTTTTCCCTGTAGAGCTTATTTCTGGGGAATCTTATTGACACGTGGAAGTTACTACGATAATAATTTTGCTGAAAGATCTGTAGGTCTACTTCTGTGCTAGAGAACTGCCTCTTTGCAAAATAAATCTTAAGCTGTTCCCTTGGTTATACATTCACAGCCATCTAGGCAAAAGCTCAATTCAGCACAGACAGCAGAGCTGCTCCCTATCCTTTTCCTAACCTTTTGAGAGAAAATTTATATTCTGTCATACAGATCCATTCCTAAGATAGATCCTTTCCTACAGTCTTTTGTTCCAGTCTTCCATTCACTTTATCTCAATCTTGCAGGCTATTTGTATCATAGCTATAGCCTGTTATGTCCTCCCTTTGACTGACTTGAAGGTACCTATTTCTATTGCTCATTGACTTATTCTGTCAGTCAGTACATTCATGCTTTTGTTCAGGGTTTGCCTGTAAATCTCTACAACAGCTTTTTCCCAGTGCTGCCTGTTGTTTTTCATGCCCACAAAAGATACCAAGGGGTAGTAATATGGCCAATTCTTCTGCAGACAGTATGGTTCCTGCATTTCTGTCTTTATCTGGCCATTCTCCCTCATTCTTCAATGCCAAGCTATCCCAGACACACTGTCTTTCTCTGGTGTCTTTGTGCACCTTTTAACACAACAACTCCCCGTTACCATGGCACAACACAAGCTTCCGTCTTAGCATCTTTTCTTCTGACCCATTTGGTTGTGATACTGGAGGGACAGATTCTACTGTCAGAAACCCAGAGATGCAGCTGGTTCCCATCAGGACAATGTTCAATACAAGGGCTGTAGCCCAGAGCTGATAAGCACTGCTAGAGGTACCCAACAAGGGAAGACAGTTATATAAGGCTTTGCTTCTTTTTTTTAGGGCTGCTTCCCAGATTCAGTATTTCACAGGGAACAAGCAGAGGAGACAGACATACAGCAGCTGGTACCCTAGGAAGTTTCCTTCAGAATATGAAGGTTTCAGCAGCCCAGGAATGATGACAAGTCTATGCTGAAACTGCCATCAGCCTGTTTAGTCTCTTGGTGGTCAGTACTAGATCCTAAAAGGAAACAAAAAGCATCTCTCCAGAGAAGGCTCACTTGAGTGACCCACCTACAGTGAACTTATTTCCAGGCTGAAGTACACGCCATAATGAATTGATTACTGTAGTTGCACTCCTGCCTTCCTATCTAGAGTACTGAGTGTTCAATTTTCTGTCCTCTGCCTTACGTGTTAAAAGCTAATGGAGGTTCTTACTTTGGTCAAGTGGCAAGAACTTTGCCCATGGAACTGGGAGATCTAAATTCTGGTCTTGTGTAGCAGTGAAAAGACCCTGGATAAACTTCCAAATGAGTACAGAGGTTACACAGTTCAACCCAGAACCTGCGACTAGATCAGTATATTTTGTAGCTTTAAAAAAAACCTAGTATCTGGAAAAAGATACTGGAATTGCTATTTAAACAGTACAGTCTTCAACTTGCTTAATTGTTGTTTTGAATTCTGAATAAATCTTCATTTTTGTATGGAATAAAAAAACTTACATAAATATTCAAAGAACAAAAATAATCCAGGACATAATAATGTTTAAATCAAACCAGAAGTTAGAACAGAACTCTTAAGAATACCTGTGGTGACAGTATTGAGCACGAAGCCAATCTTTTCAGACATTTCATGGCTGATAAGCAAAATCAACTTAATTGTTAGTATCGGTAGGGCACAGAGTACAATCAGTATTGCAGGTGAATACAATTTAGAGTAAAGTAATGAAGCTAAGATTTTCTGATGCATAAAAGAGCTTTATTTCTACAAGTAAACAGGAATGTCATTATTTCAAATGTGAAATACCCTACAATGGACTAACAAGATAATTGGATAATTTGAAGCAATAATATTGCAGGTTTCAGCTTTTCTCACCAGTGTGGTATCTTTTTTTTTCCTCTTTTTTCCCTTGCTCTTTTCTAATGCAAATGGAGTCATTTAAAGAGCGGATTAGTTCTACATTAATTCCCTTTGTTTTCTTCTTTGCTTCTGTTAGGTTCAGATGGAGTTTCGGAAAAGCTGGGAGCGCTGGAGATTAGAACATTTGTATGTCCAGAGAGACAGCAGTATGAAACCTCTGAAATGTCCAGCCAACAGCATCAGTAGCGGAGGCACGGTAGGCAGTAGTGTCTATGCTGCCACTTGTCAGGCCACATTCAGCTGAGATTTCTGCAGGTGAATCAGACTGAGAACAATGAACTGTATGATATACCTGAAAACCCTTAAATACCCAAGCAAGTGGCTTAAGTATGCCATCTCCAGCAAGAAACTTAAGCATATGCTGCTCATTGCCTGCAGGCTGTTGGACAAAGGTTTCTAGCGAAAGCAATCTGCTAATGTAATCAACACATCAGAGGAAAAATTGATCACGTCTAAAGTAAGTTAAAAGAGTTTCCTCCTATTTGCACACAAGGCCTCCAGGTGTCCAAAACTTAAGCATAGCATTGATCCAGTCTGAAACCACAGGGTCAATGGCTTATTACTGTTGAGTGGGCGAGCTGAGTGATTGACTGATTAAATTACAAGGATACAGAATATGATTATTGCCAAAAAATATGTTTAGACTTTTATGGGGACAGGGTAAGGTCACCATTTATAGAAAAAAAATAATTTAGTGGGACACAACTCATGTTTTAGGGAAGAACCAGTTTTGTAGTAGGAGTTTCCCAAAGTTAAAGTTGAAAATATGCTAACCTTTTTTCTGTGTAGGTGAAGGACAGCATCCTGAAGGTTTATCAATTTACAGCAGGTAGTTTGGTGAACACTTGAACACTTCTGAATGCTCTTTTTAAGCTTCACTTGCAAAAAAAAAAAAAAAAAAAAGAACCAAACTCAGTATCTGTTAGGGGTCTCATCTGCTAGAATTACAGAATTGGGTACACATTATCTCTGTTGACTTGGATGGAGGTGTCCCCTAAATGCACAGCCCTTCCATTACAATTGGTACTCTGCTTGTCTGGTGGGCACACAGGGATGGGATAATGACTTCTGCTTCAAGAGAATGTTTTCTGTCGAAGCTTTACTCTGTTTCATGTGGGTGCAAGCACACAGAAGTCAGCTAGTGGCCACTGCTGGTCTTATCACATCCATGGCATTGAAAAGATTCACTAGTTGGCATTGTGGGCTCACTTTTGTTTCTCCTTCAGCCTTGGTCCTTTTCTCCAGAGATGAGGTACCTGCACTTGGGGGCAGGAAGGCAGCCCTTGCATATGGCACAGGTTCAGGACCAAGGAGAGCTCCTGCCCAGGTGGGCTGCCATCCTCCTCCAGAATCTGCCTGCTTCCCATGAGTGGGATTCAAAAAAAAATATCCCCAAACCCACTATCCTGAACTCCACGAGCTTTTGTGAGTTTAAAACAGTGAGGACTTGTGCAGTGACTGTATTTGCACTGCACAGTGTTTCCCTCCCTGATGTTTACAAGAGTTGCTTGGGAAAAACAGAGGTACCTTTACAAGCAAGACGTAATCCATTGCATCACTCAATAGCAACCTTTACATATCTTTACTCAGCTGTTACTCAGGCTCCCTTTACAACAAAGAGGCCAAATGCCAAAGACTAGTCCTGAGAATCTCCCTGTTCAGAGACTTTTAAGTAAGTAACTTCCATGGCACAGCAGTTAAGAAATACTTAGCAGAAATAACACACCACCACCACTACCACCCTCCAATTTTCAAGTCTCTTTGCACTTGCACTCACAGCCCCCATTACCAAGAAAATACACTGGATATTCTGGAATGTAATTCAGCATCTTTCCTGCCTGAAGCTAGATTGCTTTGCATGGTATTATTTAATCATTGTATTAGAATCCAAATTGCCAACAGTGTGGATTAGTTTTGGAATCACCAGGTTAGAACTGAATTAAGAGAGGATGTGTTACCTTCTTCTGATACAATACTTGTAATAGAGCTCCAGGGAGAAAGTCAGACATGTCTGTAGAAATCCACCACAGTTCTCAGGCTGGCTTATATATGTTTAGCATGCTGGCTTCTATGTGGGCCATTCCCAGGCCTTCCCTCCTTAACATCAGTTGCAGAGCTAACTTTGGAATGAAGCACCTCAGGTTCTTCTGTAAATTTAATAACTAGCTTCTGTGTTGTGTGACCATCAATACAATACTTGACTACCACATGCAGATATTAACTGCTGTCCTAAAATATAATTAATTAGCTTCCTATACGTAGAGAGTATGCTTGATATTTCTATCTACCATGTACTCTGATGTGCTTTGAACAGGAAAAAAATGATAGTAGGTGAAAAGGCAGTGTGATGACAGATGAAATTTGCAGCTGTAGGATAATGCACTCTGGAGGGAATAATTTCACTCATTAATATTCAAGAGTGGATACTAGTTTTCCAGGGCCCTGCTTAGTTGCATGCAAACCTGGGAAAAAAAGTTTCTGCTGCTTGTGCAGCTGTTAGCAAGATGATAATTTTGCTACAACAACAGGAAGATACAGAAGTGTTTAACTCACTACTGTGCTGGGAAAAAACATGTATGTAGCAAATGAAAGAGGAAAGTCATAGGAATAGAGAGCATTTCCATGTGTGGTAACAAACCTGTACTTAGTTGCTGTCACAAGGTTCTTTCAACAGCTTGACATGCTTTTGAGTTAGTAGGCTCTTCTTGTCCCTCCTAGTCATTTGAGAAGTGAGGGCTTTGGGCCCACAAGAATAGCTCCAGCATCAGATATCAAACTTATCTTGGTAACTTTTGCCTTGTTAGAATACAAGAGAAAAATTAGGTAACAAAGTGAGGTCTTAGCCAAGCAGAGGGTTGTGGAGGAATTTTTTTTCCCTCTCTGATTAAGCTCTCACTTCTTCAAACTTTTTTAAATCCCCTTTAAGAATAACTCAGTGAAAGTTATTACCACCAAAGCAAAATTACAGTATTCATGTATTTAGAGACAGTGCAAGGTCTCAATGCCAATTTCTCCATCATTCTTTATCTACTTCAGTAAAACCTTTTACAAGCCTTTGTTATTCGTGTCATCTCTATTTCAAAATGTGTAATGTACATTTATTTGGGTAGAATGAAATAGGCGAACCAACACAAAGCACTGGAACAGATGAACTGTGTCAGTTTTTATTTCTTGTGCCTTCCAGCTTCATGCTCACTTATTGTGGTAACTTGTTTCATGAAGCATTAAGTACAAGAGTCTATAAATCCATCTGGACATAACGCAACTAGAGTTTATAGCAAGTGAAAACTTTATTTCCAGCATTGCTGCTATGAAGTTTTATAATTTCCCGAATCTTACCTTATATTTAATATTTATTTGCATGTATTTCCTTGTTTTAAAAAACCCCCCCAGAATTGAACTGTACAGGATGTCAGATTATCAATTCCCCATAAACACTATGCTGATGTTTATTTTTATCATTGTGAATAAAGTTTCAACTCACAAAATTCCATTGTTTACAGGTGTTTTGAGTATCATCTGACTACTTCTTGACCTATAATTAGAATAGTGTTTAAGAATGGAAAGGTTCACAGTTCATGGTTCTTCTGAGGAAATGAATATTTATATTTGCTACTCTGTGTCCACTACAAAGAGGCCTTTGAACCTGCAGAACCTATGTTAATCAAAACCAAAATGCAGCATCACTAGTGGGGTTCTGTAGGGCTCCATCTTAGGCCCTGTCCTCTTCAGCCTCTTCATAAATGACTCGAACGCAGGACTGGAAGGGACATTAAGCAATTTTGCAGATGTCACAAAACTGGAGGAGCTGTTAACTCACTTGAAGGCAAGGAGGCCCTGCAGAGAGGCCTTGACAAATTAGAGGACTGGGCAATCACCAGCCATATGAAGTTCAACAAGGGGAAGTGCCAGGTTCTGCACCTGGGATGGGACAACCTCGGATGCACGTACAGAGTGGGGAATAAGATGCTGGAAAGCAGTGCCATGGAAAGGAACCTGGGGGTCCTGGTTCATGGCAAGTTGAATATGAGTCAGCAGTGCCCTGGCTGCCAGGAGGGCCAAATGTCCTGGGGGGCATCAGGCAAAGCATCACCAGGCAGTCAAGGGAGGGGATTGTCCCGCTCTGCTCTGCACTGGGGCAGCCTCACCTTGAATACTGTGTGCAGTTTTGGGCACCACAATATAAGAAAGATATTAAGCTATTAGATAGCGTCCAAAGGAAGGCAGTGAAGATGGTGAAGGGCCTTGAGGGGAGTCCATGTGAGGAGTGGCTGAGGGTACTTGGTCTGTTCAGCCTGGAGAAGAGACTGAGGAGAGACCATCACAGTCTACAACTTCCTCATGAGGGGAAGAGGAGGTGCAGGCACTGATCTCTTCTGTGGTGACAAGTGACAGGACCCGAGGGAATGGCCTGAAGTTGTGTCAGGGATATAAGAAAGATAGGTTGGATATAAGAAAGAGGTTTTTCACCCAGAGGGTGGTTAGGCACTGGAACAGGCTCCCCAAGGAACTGGTCACAGCATCAAGCCTGACAGAGTTCAAGTGTTTGGATGATACTTTCAGGGACATGGTGTGATTCCTGGGGATGGTCCTGTGCAGGGCCAGGAGTTGGACTCTGTGATCCTTGTGGGTCACTTCCAACTCAGTATATTCTGTGCTTCTGTGATTTGTACAGTCAAGAGGAATGTGTAATAATAATGAGAACTCTGAGGGATTTTTACCAGAGGATGGTTGATTATGTGCATAACAAATCAGGATTTGAAGGACCAATTTGTGGGGTTTTTTCTCAACTTTGTCCTTAGAGGCACAAGTTCTAGCAGCTGCTTTTCACTATGACTTAATGATTTCATTGAATCACATAATCGTTAAGGTTGGAAACGACCTTTAAATCAAGTCTGACTGTCTACCTAGCACCACCACAACAATCACCACTAAAACATGTTCTCAAGTGCCACATCCAACTGTTTTCTGAACACTTCCAGGGATGGTGACTCTACCACTTTGCTGGGCAGATCTGGTTTAATGCAATGATCTGTATATTAAAAATAGTGGCGGATCATACAAGTACACCTGCCAGGCATAAGTCTTTTTTTTTTGCTTATGTTACAAATTATGAGAACTGATATGAAGCAAACGGACTTTGCATGATAATCAGATGTTTGTGTTAGATCAAAGACACGAGTGCAAACTGAAACAGCAGTCTGTTTTAGATAAATGGATAGCACTTCTTCATGTCTTTTCTTCAGAAAGAGGCTTCCAGCCAGTACTGGGAAGAGCAGCAGTTGGACCATTCTAGTGAAGGTGTAGTCAAAGCTGCGGCAAAACTCCTATGGAGCAGAAATGCACCAGCTGACACGCTGGCAGGCACAGCTGTGACAAGGCCGTGCCTCTCGGGGCCGCCCGACAGCGGCCGCAACAGCTGCCCGGCCCCCAGGAAACCAGACCAGAGCGCGGGCTTTGCTACGGCTTTATTCGGGACCGGACGGCTCCGGGGGACTCGGGGCCAGCAGTAAGGCTCAAGAAGGCGTTTTGCACAGAAACAGCCCCCGTCTCCTCCCCCGTCGGCCCTTCCTCGGGTCCTTGGGACGGCGGCGGCGGCGGCGGCGGCGGCGGGGCCGGCCCAGCACAGCGGCTGTCCCCGCCGGGCCGCCGCTACCTGCCCGCGGCGGGCCGGTAGTGCAGCTCCCGCTCCAGCTGCTCGGCCGTCAGCGTGCCGGCGATGGCGGCGCAGCCGGGGTTGAACACGGAGTAAGCGCTGAGCTCGCCGGGCCGCCGCTCGGCGGGGCCGCGGGTGCCGGCGTACATCCAGTAGAGCAAGGAGAGGACGAAGTAGGGCAGCCCCAGCTCCAGCTCCGCGAAAAGCGCCAGCAGCACGGCCCAGAGAAGCACCTTCAGCAGCAGCGGGCGCGCCCACACCGGAGCCGCCGGCGCCGGGGCGGGATGGACCTGCGGAGGCGGCAGCGAGACGCGGCGTCAGGCACCGACCGGCCGCCGCACCCCCGACCCGCCCGCCTCGGCGCTCACCTGAGCGGCGCCGCCGCCCGGGCCCACTGCGGCCCGCGGTCCCTCGGCGGGCTCCGGAGCCGTGGGCACTCCCGGCGGGTCCGCGGGGCGCGGAGCGGCCGCAGCACTACCGCGGGCGGCGCGGAACTCGGCCAAGCGCCGCTCCACGACCGCCGACATGGCCGAGCCGCGCCTGCGCCAGGGCCGTGACGGCTCCGTGGGGAGGCGGGGCCGGTGGAAACATAAAAAAACGGGGAAGGAAAAGAGCTGGGTCCCCCACCGTGGGGAGCCACAAGCAGCGAGGTGCTGCTCGCGTCGCTGCCCTGTATGGATAGCAGAGCCGGCCGACCGGCTCTGGTGAAAAGCTGTAGTTCACCAGAGGCCTCCTCTTGTGTTTTGTTTTCATAGAATCAGAATCTATCAGGTTGGAAGAGACCTCGAGTCCAACCCATGACCAAACACCACCATGTCAATTAAACCATGGCACTAAGTGCCATGTCCAGTCTTTCCTTAAGCATCTTCAGGGACAGTGACTCCACCACCTTCCTGGGCAGTCCATTCCAATATCTAATCACCCTTTTTTGTGAACGAATTCCTTCTAATGTCCAATCTGAACCTCCTCTGGCACAGCTTGGGGCTGTGTCCTCTTCTCCTTTCACTAATTGCCTGGGAGAAGAGGCCGACTCCCACCTGGCTACAACCTCCTTTCAGGGAGTTGTAGACAGTGACAAAGTCTCCCTGACCTCCTCTTCTCCACGCTAAACAACCTTAGTGACCAGTGTTGGCACCAAAATGAAGAGGTGGAGGAGAGCATAAAGTGTGGGGAAACCAAATCCTGGGGAAGGTGAATAAAGTGTTCACAGCCAGGCTGACCAGCAACATTTGCATCAGGCATTCGAGATGACGTTTTAGAAGAGTGTTGAGCAGCCCAGGCAGGGACAGCATGGAGGAGGTGGAGGAGGAGGGCACTGCCGTGGCCACGGCCACTCACCATGTGAGGAGCCAGGGCTCACCCTGTGCCACCCGCTGCTGGCCATGGAGAAAAGTGTGTGGTGAGCTCCCTCCAACACAGGCCCACAGGCCTTGCCAGCATCCATCTCGCCCTCTCTTTAAATAAAAAACTAAGATTGGGAAAACCAGCTCTATCACATCACATTTCAGCTATCAGCACTGCCAAGAAATGAAAATTTATTTACAGGATCTGTCTCTTAGCCTCAGGAGTAAAATATTCATCATTCTCCAGCAGTAATAGTCAGCAGTGAGACATCATTTCATCCTGCAGTGCTGTTTCCAGTTACTTATAGCCTTCTCAGAAGTGACCTTTGGGGCTGAATGTCTCATGCATGTGTCAGCTCAGAAGTGATTATGAGAAGTCTAATAAAAATCAATTTGGGTGTTCTTAAGTTATCTTAATGTGGAAAAAATTGTGTTTTTCCCCAGCTAAATCATTTTTCAAATGCCTATTTTATGCTTGGTTACAAAATTATTTTCTTTTAACCTTCCAACTTTACAAAAAGTGCTGCAATGAATGACATTTTTCTCTTTATTTGTGGAAATTTGATTTTGAAATAACAGTCAAAAATGTTTTAAGATAGCCTGCACAGGGCATCATTTTAATTTGATATTTTTTTACTTCCTCTTGTTCTACTGTTCATTGAAATAGCTCCTTGTTCTGTATATATCATTAGTCACACTAGTAGTTATACCTGAGCTTAATACCTTCTTTGCAAGCTGCACCCAGTGATTCCCATGCTGTTAAATTTAATTCAAAATTTTCTGGTTTTACTACTATTTGCTATTGTGCATCCAAATAGCTATTTTATGGCTATGTTGAGCTACCTATATTGCCATGTATTGTTAGGAAACACATAGAATAGTGCCATGAATCAGGCCTTTGAGGCCTAAGAGCACTCCACTACCCTCAACTGTAAATGAGGGTTTCACTGCAGACAAATACCTGTACAAATTTGTACTCATAAAGTCTTAAATTACTTCAATATATCTTGTTTTAAACAAACAGATTAATTGAATAGACAGTTTTGTTTGTTTGTTTAACAAACCATACGGACAATTTGTTTCCTACTCCAGTGCCTACAAAGATCCTTGGCAGTTCACCAGTCCTAATCTTTGGATCCTCAGCCTGTGATTGGGAGTGCAGAGGGGACATGGAGAGGCTGAAGAATACTTCTGTGGGACTTGAATCACTTCATGTCTTTCTCACTATTTATGAGAAAAACAAATTGAATATAGTGGGTCTGTAGGTGTGAGACTGAGCCAAGGGTTTCTCCCCTTTGGTGCAGCCAACGATTAATTGATAAATCTCTAAACCTGCATTCTTGATAACAGAAATCCTGAAACTGCCCATCAACTTCTAGGAGGCAGCATTAAGATCACTTAAAAAACTTAGGATTTTTTTTCATTTGTTTTGTAATAGATCGTACTACATAGAAGCTCACATGTGTATTTCTCTCTGCCAAGAAGAAAACCTTTGTTCTTTATAAATTTCCACTTCAGCAATTTTGAAACCTTTTCCCTTATCCCAGCTATCAACTTTTCATTATATTTTAGTATTTATGATACAGAAGAATTATTGCATTCTGCTCTCAGCCAATTGTCACCAGCGTAAGGAACTAATGTTCCAAGCCATTAGGAACTTTGTCTATGGCACTCTGTCAGCAAGTGAACTGAAGGAGGTAAAGTGCCTGCTGAAAGAATTGGCAAAACAAGAAAGCTATCGAAGCTGTACCCAAAGTGCATTCAATTTTATATTTTTGGGGCGGTGACTGCAGAGTTTTTCTTAATTAGTTATCAAGTATCTCTGCTCTTCCATGCCGCTTAAAGAAGAGAACTGAAACTAATTCAATGAGGTGTTTTTATATGACAAATAGCATTAGAACTGTTTGTAGCAAAATATCAACTCAGCTGAGTTAACCTAAGCATTGATAGCAACATTCAGATCCTGTGGCACCCTTTGCATGTACCACATCAGCAGCCTGTCACCACCTCTTGGTGTCAGCCACCTCTTTATTCAATAGTACAGGCTCAGGGCCTTGCTCAGTATTTTGGAGTGTTGTTGCTTGCATCCTATGACTGCAGATACCTGTTTGTGTATGCCAGATTTTTCAGTAATCAAGTCACATTAATTATCTTGATGGATTAATCTAATTCAGGAGCTCTCTCCTTTGTGAGATAAGCGTTCACTCTTGCACTGACTTGCTAAGTGCCATAAATGCAGACAGAAGGGCAACCCATTATTAATATAATGACCTAGCTTAATTAGTTCAATGGAGCTGAGGGAGCATTAGCTCTAGTTGTTGAGGTCTTGCAGAACATGTATAAAATAGATTGAAGTGCACAGACTCATATTTGTCTAATTCTGCAAAGAGCTTCTTGCATATCCATTTACTAATCAGTTCTAAACTACAGAGAAGAGCTGCTTCCTTTTTAAAAAACGGTCGTTAATTTTCCTTTGTAAAATAGCAGCATCAGGGTATTTTGCCATTAGACAGAAAAAAATATTTTATTTTATTCTTTTTATTGAACTAGTTTAGTTTCTGAATTGCAAATTTTCGTGTCTGTGTGGTTTTGAAACGTATGTTTGTATATTCAGCAGTGCATACTAAAAGTTTCTGAGATGCTAGCACTTATGTTCCTGCTTTATGTACTGAAATGCTCTATATTTAAACACATTTAAAATTGGGCAGTGCAGAGTTATTAATGTTTCTGTCACGATTCTGAACTGCTCCTTATCATTTCATAGGAAACTTCCATTTGAGGAAAAGAAGAGAGTGAAAATCCCTCACTAGTGCAATGCTAGCTGTAAATGTCAGATACTTAGTGAAAACATTGTAACAGGAAAGGGAGATGAGCTATTTTATTGCGTTTAGAAGATAACACCCAGTGAGCAATCTGGGTGGGATTGTTTTGCTGCATTCATAACTTTAATCTGATTTCAAAGTCAAGGTTTTGAAAACTGTTCTAAAATTTCAGAATTTCAGAATATTGCCTTTTGATTTTTATCATATAGCTAGTGTGGGAAAAGAGGCATTTGCCACTTGGTATTCCTTATAACTTAAGAGAAAGGAAACCTGATTTGTGTCTCCTGTCAGTCAATGTTATGTTGAGTTTAATCAGTCTACTCTTCTCAAAACTTTTTTTGAAAAAAAATACTTTGTAAATTAATTAACAAAGTACTTTTGTGAAAGTATTTTCTGGAAATACAGAAGGGTCTTTGGGCTTGGAGTGAATATTTTTTTATTCTAGGTTTGTATAGCACTTAGCCACAACATTCTGTAACTAGATGCTGTAATAGCATTTCTCCAGCAGGAGAAATGAAGTAAATAGAATGTCAGAGAAGACCTTAAAACCAGTTGTAGATCTGAGTTCTGGTTCTAAGTCTATTTCCTTCAAATCCATTGGAGTTTAAAATATAGAAAATTCTATATGCTAGAAGTTGAATAAAGAGTGAGGAAGACAGAAGGGGACTACATTATCCCCTTACACACATACACACTCAGTCTTTAGAAGTCTTTCGTTAAGTGTGCACTGTAAGCTTTAATACTCACGTTGGCTGCCAGTTTTATACAGCCACTTCCACGAAAACACCAAGGGCATCACAACACTGACTGATTTCATTTTTAGAGGAGCAGAACGCCCAGAAAGGTGTTGCAGCAACCTTTTCTCATGCCTTCAAGCCTCTGCCCTATATGATAGGGCAAATCATTATCCAGAAACACTGACCTATCATTGCGGTTGGCAGGGTGCGTTCCAGCCAGGTGGTTGGAACCTCAGGCTCTTGCTGATAATTTTCTTATAAATGGTTCAAATAAGAGTGAGAGTTCATCTGTGCCCCTGAGATAGGTATACCAGGCATAAGGGCTTGGTGCTATTTATTAGTTCCCACAAATGATGAATGAGCGAGACATCATGACATTCCTATTCCTCCTTGGCTCTACACAAAAGAAATTAGCTTATCTAAAACAAAATAGTTGAATATGTGTATCTTTATGTAAGGACAGAAGTCCAAACTATTACTTCTGACAAGCTGTTGCATTGTATGAAAATATTATCTATTTACTCTTTTTGGCAATTTCTCCTTATCATAATCACCTTTTAGGCCCAACACCTGTGCTAGATTTTGGAATATTTATGATGTTTACCACTGGAAGTGAAATTGCTCAGTCAGATCACAGCTAAAGGTTAGGACTAAAGCCTTCCCTAACGCTTTCAAAAATAGGAATAAACTAGGCAGTCCACCAAGAGAATGAGCCTTTCAGCATGACCTAGGAAGACTCTTTTCCAAATCGGTATTTAAACATATGATATACCACGTGTTTCGTTCCAAACTCTGCTACAGGATAGCGCAAGTAGCTGATCGTCATTGCAACAGAAGCTTTGAGCTCTAAACTGCCTTCAGTAATACACAAAGGTTGTGTAGGGGTCCACCAGTGAAAGTTAGTGG